AAAAAAAAAAAAAAAAAAAAAAAAAAAACAAAAAACAACAACAACAACAAAAAAAGTTCCTAACTAGCTCTCACCCACTTAAATCCTAATAGACAGGAAGAAAAACAATGTACAACAAAATATAATTCAGTTGCATGCCCATGTTGGGGAGTGGCGAAGAAGCACGTGACACCACAGCAAGTACAGGACGTGTCAAGAGCTTCCTCTCGGGACCGGGTTAGCGCAAACCTGGGCAAAGGCAGCACCGAGTACCTGGACAACAGCAACGCATGCAGTGCGTCACTGGGCCCCCGGGGATGCCTCCCGCATGCAACCGTTCCTTCCACGCAGTCTCACTGAGCAGAGTCAGGACTGACACACTTAGCTATGCATCCTTTTCTCAGTGACTCTGCTTACCATTCCCTATGGCAGGGTCCCTGCTGTCCTCCTCCCCTGCCTGGACCACCCTGTGGGAGGAAGGAACTGCCACTTCTGCAGAGCAGCTCCCAGGGCCCCCTCCTGCTCTGCAGCAGCCTCTGCCCAGCCCTTGCAGCACATGGCAACTCCCCACATGAGGCTCCCCTTTCAGTCTAAAGCCCAAAGCAATGAAGACACGGACAGCTGTAGGAGGGCGGGGGGAGATGAACAAGAAGTAAATTTCAGTGCCAGAAGTCCCTGAGATTCGGCAATAGGTTTTTTGTTTTGTTTTGGTTCAGGAAATGACACTTGCCAAGCAGGTGCTGTGCCTCTAATAGGTTTTTTGTTTTTGTTTTTTTTTTCTTTTTTCTTTTTTCATTTGTGTATTTGGTACAGGGTCTCACTACACCGATCAGACTCGTGGTGATCCTCCTGTTTTCAGCCTCCCCAGCACTGGGATTACAGGCAGGCACCACCACAGCTGGCCTCTGTCCCACTGGCTCAGCGCACCTGGGGTTGGGGTCGATGTGGCATGCAGACCAGGGATGAACCCTAGTCCCTGCGCTTGCCAAAACAGGCACTTGGGCCACTGCACTATCTCGCCAGAGCCTGCTTTGCTTGTTGAGACAGCACTTCTCCACTGAGATCCGGCTGGCCTTGAACACAAGGTGACCCTCCTGCCTCAGACTCCCGTGCTATAATTACAGGAATGCATCACCACTCCCAGCTCTGCAACAGATTATTACCACTGCACAGTCCAGCAAGGCTAAGTGCTCAGTTTTCGCATGTATAAAACAGTAACCATGAGGTCTAATGATATGAAGATCAAATCAAACTGTGTATATGTGGAAAGATAAGTTAAAACTATCTGTAAATGACTTTTATGTAAAAATCCCTAAACACTGTAAAAAACCTAATAAACTCAACAACGTTGGAAGACATAAAAATACATGGAAATTAGCTGGTTTCTACATGCTAACTTAAACATGAAAGAGGAAAGGAAATAATCTTAAAATGGCAACATTACAAAATAATAGTATCAAACAATAGCAAAACATTCAGGAATAAACATAACCAAGGAGGAGAGTCTTGAACACTGGAACCAACAAAACTAAAAGAAATTAAAGAAAACAAAAATAAATGGACTTCTTGTGTTCAAGAATTGGAAGACTTGCCAGGCGTGGTGATGCACACACGTAATCCCAGCACTTGGGACACTGAGGCAGGTGGATTTCCCCAAGTTCAAAGCCAATCTGAACTATACAGGAAAACCCTGTCTCACCAAAGAAAAATGACTTAATATTATTACAAGCTACTCAAGGCAATATAAAAATTCAATGTAATCCCTATCAAAATCCCAATGGCAATTTTTGCAGAAACAAAAAAAAAATATATTAAAATTTCTTTGGAATCCAAAAGGACCTAGAGGGCCCACCAAACAACTCGGTGGATTAAAGCACCTACAAGCAGGCGCAGGGGCTGGGGGTTTGATCCCATGCCTGCCTTGCCGGCCCCGCCCTTGGGGCGTACTGAAATGGCAACTGAGACTCGGCATGGGGATGCATGCCTGTAATCCCAGCTCTTGGGAGGCTGTAAACAGGAGGATCACAACAAGTCCAAGCTAGTAGTGAGACCCTCAACACCCTGCAGACCCTTCCCTAAAATACAAAAAAAAAAAAAAAAGGACCTAGAATAAGCACAGCAATCTTAAAAATGAGCCAGGCCAATTAGCATTCACAATTCTAAGTAAAGGCTATCACAATGTAGCAGGAATCCCCCCTAGGTATTTGGGGGCACCCCGCTAGTCAGTCCCCACCCCCAGTTCAAGCAGAGACCTACCCCCTCTTGTTAGTTCACATCACCCTCAAGGGAGGTGGGAGGGTGTTCAGCCTCTGACCCCGCCCAGTGAGTGAGGGCGTGGCCTGAGCAGCGCAAGCCCCAGGCTGCTCGTCTGTGCACCAAGCCTGGGCGGCACTGGCTGCAGTGGGGGATGGGGCCCTCACCTGCAGTGCCGCGGCGACCAACACAAGAGGTAACAGAGGCCTCGAACCCTCCTCTGCCAGCTCACACCTAAGTCCGTGCAAGAGGCACAGCCAAGCCAGCATCTGAGTGGTCTCCCTCTGAGGGGTACCCAACCTTTGTCTGTTGTGCCACTGTTCAAGGGTCCACAACACACAGCACAGCACAGGGAGATAGAATGGGAATGAATCAGTTAAAACTCAGTCCCTGACTGCAGGAAAAGGGGTTTTTATGGAGTTAGACAAGAAAGCAAACTGCTCCCTGTACCTCAAAGAAAAACAGGAAAAGGGGGCCCACTCTTCCTGAGAACACCGCATTGGCCCCCGCTCAGGCACTGCAGCTGCCACCAACACCCACAGCTTCACTCCCCAGTCCCGACCCGTCCACCTCCAGCCAACTGAGCCAGCTCCAGTTGGTTTACTGCATTCAGCGACAGAGGGCCCCCAGAGACACACCTACGGTGGTCAGATAGCATCAGCCTATGCCCACCCACGCTGTCAGCAGTTGTTCCTGAGTTCCACATTTTGACTGAGGAAAACTGGACTATCAGCCCAGACAAACGGGTTGTGCTGTCTCAAGCCCAGGACAGACCAAGCTCTATCGAACCGGACCCCCCAAGAACCTGTAGTCAAGTGTGACCTTCCTGGTAAATAATGGAATGGAACTCCCTGCTTTCAAAAGCTCTGTCCAAAAGTTACCGTCATCAGAGCACCTGGGCCTCGCCTCTCGCCGCTCCTGCCAGGCATAAACCTGCAGCCTGGGAGGACGCCTCCTC